GAGAGAGAGAGAGATAGAGAGAGAGGGAGAGATAGCGATAGAAAGAGAGAGAGAGAGAGAGCGAGAGAGAGAGAGAGCGAGAGAGAGAGATAGATCGATAGAGAGAGCTGGGGCGAGCGAGAGAGAAAATATATCATCTCGCTTTCTCGGTGGGCCTGGTTGAAGCTGATAAAAGCGAATTCAAGAATAAAAGCTTCGTCTTCGGCACCAGAGGCCTCGAAATTGATATAATCGTTGGTTCTTATGGCAACCACTATTTATTATTCTATGCACGGAGTCGTTGGGACAATCGAACGGACGCTGGAGAAATGAATGCTAATATACCATCACCGCCTTACGTTCATTTATTTCCAACTGCCTCCAGAGCTGAAGCATTCTGGTTCTTCTCGTTTACGTAGAAAAGACCGTGGTACATCCGGTGCAAGAATATTATACGCAAGAATGCTCATAGGACGACGGAAGAACATTATATGCGATAACCTCCAGCTCGTCGGTGTAAGAACGTCATATGCGACTACTTCACATTTGACGACGTAAGAACGTGGTAAACGACTACTTCCCGTTCGCCGTCACAAGAACGTCATATGCCCTTACCGGTGCAAGAACATCATATGGTCTTACCGGTGCAAGAACGTCATATGCCTGCCCGAGTATCAGTAATGATCACATTCCAGCGCACACACCAGACCAGTTTAAGCTGGGGACTCAAGAATTAACTTAATTTAAGTTTGTAGTGTAATGTATTTGTAGTCTTGTATATATAGCAGCTGTAACGTAATGATATAATCGAATGCCGCAACTAAACATGATGACGTATTTATATCATGATAATGCAATGTCACGCTGAATTGCGATGATATTACGTGATTAACACAATTAAGTAACATAACACAAATGCACAACATGAGAATGAAACGTGAAGCTGCTGCGATGCAGCGACGTAGAATGATGACGTGTGACCGTGTAACGTGACAATACAATACAATCATGTTACGTGGTACGTAATCATGACGATCATGGCACGTAATGGCACGACCATGGCACGTGCAATGCACGACCATGACACGTGGCACGTAATCATGACGTAATCAACACGATCATGATTACGTGAGTAATGCTGACGTAGATTTCACATATTAAGCATCGCCACACCTCTATACCCAACACTTTCGATATCTGCGCACGCTCGCCATGTATTTGTGTTGATCGCTGGCCTACAAGCGTTAATGCACGATGAACCCATTACCAGAATTCCCATAAGACAATGTAATGTGATAACATAATGTAAAGTGCTGGGATTTTCTGGTTTAATAATAATATGATAATATAATGGAGTATAATTAGGACATATTAGTGTACACTGAGCGGATACAACGTGGCCATGGAATATTACGCTGTAACGTGGCCATGTTACCTGAGCGCGTAACGTGATGACGTAATTTCGAGGTGTAATCAGTTGACCTAATGCGGTAATATAATGTGATTACGTATGTAACGCTCTAATGATGATGCGCTAATCGAGTTACGTGCCTAGCGCCTGCCCCGTTACTCGCTCACGCGCCCCGTGAAACCATGTTTGTCGTGCATGTCACATCACAGTCGTCCATATCCACGCGCTGATTATCACGGATCAACATTTATCATATTCGCATTACGGCGCACGCAGTAACAACAAGTGAACGCAAACGCCCTGCATGTCGCGTGCCAGGTACTCGTCCCATAGGTTCTGCACACCTCCCCTCCTCTTCCTCCTCATCCCCCTCCTGCTCCTCCACTTCCTCCTCCTCCCACTCCCGCCTCCCTATTACTTGTAAAGTTCGAGTAACAACGGCGAATTCAATTAACAAACAATTAGCTTGCACGTGCAGCATTACATTGTAAGAATCCGGTAGCAGGTCGGACACACAGCGAGCGTGCCCCGTGCGAGGGTCGCCGTACAAAGAAGCCATCGAGCGCTCACGCTGCCGCATGCTGCTGTTAACGAAATGTTTGCCGGCCTATTAAATTTCGCATCGATCGATGCCGCGAACTGGGTAGAGGAAGGGGAGGGAGAGACGAGAAGGAAGAAGTACTGGGTAGAGGAAGGGGAGGGAGAGACGAGAAGGAAGAAGTACTGGGTAGAGGAAGGGGAGGGAGAGACGACAAGGAAGAAGAGGAGAAAGGAAGAAGAAGAAAAAGAGGAGACGAGGATGGGGAGGGAGAGACGACAAGGAAGAAGAGGAAGAAGAAAGGGAGAGGAGAAAAAGAGAAGGAGAAAAAGGAGGTAACGAAGGATGAGGAGAGCGAGGAGGATGATGAGTGGTAGGAGAGGAACGAGCAGGAAGAGGAGGAGGCGGATGACGAGGACCAAGAGGCAAGGCGAAGCGCGTGCAAGTGCGTACGGGCATGCATGTGTGCAAAATACGCGCACGCACTCGGCAGCGAACTAAACTCCCTCCCCCGTAACGCCCACGCATGCATGCGGCGATTGCTGGATAACAGAGAACGGCGTCGCGGTCCCCGTTCTAATGCGGCCCCCGCATAGCTAATGACACGGGGGCCGCGGGGTGTAACAATCAGGGCGTGCGCGCTGCGCCGTGTACTACTGTGTGTAACGCTGCGAGATGTGCGAACGGCGGAAGCCACGAGCGGTGCGCGAGAGCGTGAACGTCGCGCAGGAAATACGGGAGCTGCGGTCCGCTGCCATTCCCCTGCGCCGATAGACGAGATGGCAACGATGTATGCACGCGAGCGTACACGAAACGACGACGAAAACCTGACGACAGGCACGCACGCACGCACGCACGCACGCACGCACGCACCGTGACGCACGCAGAGCGAGCGTCATCGTCATAGCGAGCAAGTTGCACACGCGTTTGCTACCATCTCTACTCTCTGTTACCATCCGTATAGAGATAGACTACCCCCTACTGCCTGCTACCATCCTTATAGTATGTTACCATGTATACTGTTTGTTACCATCCCTATATAGATAGACTACCCCCTACTGCCTGCTACCATCCTTATAGTATGTTACCATGTATACTGTTTGTTACCATCCCTATATAGATAGACTACCCCCTACTGCCTGCTACCATCGCTATAGTCTGTTACCATCTCTATAGTCTGTTACCATCCCTATAGTCTGCTACCATCGCTATATCTTTACCATCTCTATAAGTCTGTTACATCTCTATCAGTCTGTTACGATCCCTATAGTCTTGTTACCATCCATATAGTTGTTACCATCCCTATACTCTGTTCACCATCCCTATAGTCTGTACCATCCCTATAGTCGTTACATCTTATGTCTGTTACCATCCCTATTAGTCTGCTACCATCCCTATAGTCTGTTACCATCCCTATACTCTGTTACCCTCCCTATAGTCTGTTACCATCCATATAGTCTGTTACCATCCATATAGTCTGTTACCATCTCTATAGTCTGCTACCATCACTATAGTCTGTTACCATCCCTATAGTCTGTTACCATCCCTATAGTCTGCTACCATCACTATAGTCTGTTACCATCTCTATAGTCTGTTACCATCCATATAGTCTGTTACCATCTCTATAGTCTGTTACCATCTCTATAGTCTGTTACCATCTCTATAGTCTGTTACCATCCCTATAGTCTGTTACCATCCCTATAGTCTGTTACCATCCCTATAGTCTGTTACCATCCCTATAGTCTGTTACCATCCCATGTTGTTACCATCCCTATAGTCTGTTACACATCCCTATAGCTCTTGTTACCATGCCCTATAGTCTGTTACATCTCTATTTTAGTCTGTACCATCCCTATAGTCTGTTACCATCCCTTTAGTCTGTTACCATCCATTATATCTTGTTACCATCCTATAGTCTGCTTACCATCCCTAAGTCTGTTACATCCCTATAGTCTGTTTCCCATCCCTATAGTCTGTTACCATCTTCACTGTCTGTTACTCCATCTACTCCATCCTATCCATCCATCCATCCATCCATCCATCCATCCATCCATCCATCCATCCATCCATCCATCCATCTACTCCATCTACTCCATCCTACTGTCTGTACTCCATCTCTGTCGTCTCTTAGCATTGCCTACTGCCTGCTACAATTCTTATATTCTGTTACGATTCATATAGTATGCTATCATCCTCATTGTCTTCCACTATCAATGTTGCCTGCTACCATCCCCGCTGCCCGTGCGTCTATGTCGCCGTGGCTGGGTTTCATAATTCACGCACAGCTAAGCCATACGGTAGGCTGATGAAATATTCATGGCTCCACAGAAATACAGCTGTGTGACAACGCGCTGTGGCGGCGGACTGTCGGGTCGTAGTAAGGACGTCTCAGGGATGCCGCTGCTGGGAGGATAGTCATGCTGCTGGCTGACTGCATTGTCAGGACCGACAAGCTGACGACGATGTGTTGTTATTCAACAAACGTAATATATATATATATATATATATATATATATATATGTGTGTGTGCGTGCGTGCGTGCGTGGCGTGCGTGCGTGGCGCAGCGCGCGTGTGCGCGCTTATGAATGTGCAATGTGTGTGTGCGGCGTGTGTAAAGCGGCGTGGTGCGTGTGTGTATGCGCGCGATATGTGGGCCGAGTGTGATCATTGTGTGGGGCGTGTGTATATAACCGCATGTGTGTGTGTGTGTGTGTGTGTGTGTGTGTGTGTGTGTGTGTGTGTGTGTGTGTGTGTGTGTATATATATGTGTGTGTGTGTGTGTGTGTGTGTGTGTGTGTGTGTGTGTGTGTGTGTGTGTGTGTGTGTGTGTGTGTGTGTGTGTGTGTGTGTGTATGCGTGCGTCTGTGAGTGATTGTGTGAGCATCATGTCGACAAGACGACTGCTGCATGAACGGTGATCGACAAACACGTTATTGTGCTGTGCGCTGTACCGACAGACACGAAGATAACGACACTGCTTCAGCTTCGATCGCTGCGGAAGCGATATCACTTTGATGAGCAGAACATGAATGCTTCTTTTTCACCTAAGCAAATATGTAATCAGACAGCGAGTCGCCCAGGAGCGAATTCGCGTCAATCTCGATCCGAAAATCCACTAAGATTACAAGATTGTTCATGAAATTAAACTCCCATTCAGTCGGTTATATTGGATCGGCTCGCCTATATAACCTCAGCCTGCCTCAGGTCGTCTTGTCTCCTCATGTCTCATCTCTCATAGTCTTGCTACCCCCCCCCCCTCCCACACACATCTGTCTCACCTCCCACAGGCTTGCTTTACAATAACCACAATCTCCTAGCCTTGCATCACTCTGTCTTATTCCAGTGTTTATTGCCTCACTTTGTCCCACCGTTCCTAATTTTGTCTCATCATTCCTCATCCGGCCTTCCCAACCCACCCTTATCCGTCTGTCATCTTCACCGACGTAG